GAGGGGGAAGGGGAGGGGCAAACAGAAACCCACTGCAGGGGAAATGAAAGCTGGGCTGGGTGCTGCAGCCGGGTCAGCTGTGAGGGGGGGTCAGCTGTGAGGGGGGTCAGCTGTGAGGGGGGTCAGCTGTGAGGGGGGTCAGCTGTGAGGGGGGTCAGCTGTGAGGGGGGTCAGCTGTGAGGGGGGTCAGCTGTGAGGGGGGTCAGCTGTGAGGGGGGTCAGCTGTGAGGGGGGTCAGCTGTGAGGGGGGTCAGCTGTGAGGGGGGTCAGCTGTGAGGGGGGTCAGCTGTGAGGGGGGTCAGCTGTGAGGGGGGTCAGCTGTGAGGGGGGTCAGCTGTGAGGGGGGTCAGCTGTGAGGGGGGTCAGCTGTGAGGGGGGTCAGCTGTGAGGGGGGTCAGCTGTGAGGGGGGTCAGCTGTGAGGGGGGTCAGCTGTGAGGGGGGTCAGCTGTGAGGGGGGTCAGCTGTGAGGGGGGTCAGCTGTGAGGGGGGTCAGCTGTGAGGGGGGTCAGCTGTGAGGGGGGTCAGCTGTGAGGGGGGTCAGCTGTGAGGGGGGTCAGCTGTGAGGGGGGTCAGCTGTGAGGGGGGTCAGCTGTGAGGGGGGTCAGCTGTGAGGGCGCACAGCTCTAGGAAGTAGTAGGGGCCTCGGTATTCCCGGGAGGCCCGCTGACAGCCAGACCAGGCCCTGTCCCATTCTGAGGCTGGGGAGAAAGACAAGGTGACGCCCCTGCTACCAGCTGGGAGGAGTTTGGGGAGCAGCAGCCAGGGGACCTCTCTGGCTCTTTCTAACTATGATGCCACCCAAACCTGAGGCTCAGCAGGGCACTGTGGCTACTTTTATAGCGGAGACCTGTTCTCTGACGTTTACGTATAGGGATCTATCACTTCAACTTCTCTCTTTATACCAATCAGTCTCGCCAGCTTCGTGGGAGCTACAGGGTCACGTCAATCCCAGAAGCAGCAATTGCAGAGACCTCTGCACACGGACCGAAGGGGGCCAGTCTCTCAGGCGCTCACGGGAAACGGAGTCAGGAGCGGTCCCCTCCACCCGGCCGCCCAGGCCCATGAGCTTTTTGGCTCACAATCCTGGTAGCTTTACCGTAAGATAAGGTAACATTACAGGAAAACCTAGATGTCCAGCTTTTTTTGTGAAAAATCTTTCGACCAGCATTGCTTTCAGATGGTAAACAAGAATATAAAAGCATTTATTTGAGCAAAAGGAGCTGCAGCCCAGGAGGCTCGGATGTAGGGAGCAACCCAACAGCACTCCGGGGAGAAGACAGAGAAGTTATAAAGGCAAAACCACACGGGTAATTCTTTCATGCAAATGAAGGATCAGGCTAGGTCCACAGGGATTGGTTAGTTCCAATATGCAAATGAAGGGGTGAAAACTACAAGGAGGAAGTCAAGTCCCTGTCACAGCGGGTCAGGTCCGGGATGTTTATGGCTCAACCTTGAGCAAAGCCATGGCACCAGGTTTAGGAACTTAGTAGCAGCTCTGAGTGCGGCCTTGTGAGGCCGCATCCTTGTTTCTGTTTCTCTGTCTCCCCTTCCCAGTTACTCCACAATCAGAACGCATTAGCTTTCTTCTCGCACTAAATAAAGCACCAGTCTAACGCCAACATCTGAAAGTGAGAGATTCCGTTGGCTTGAGCGGTCAGAATGGCCTCCTGGGAGAGGCTGGATGTGAAATGAGAACAGAAAGATGGAGAGAGGCCTTTCCCGGTGAAGCCAGCATAAGGCATGCACGCCCCCTCCTCACCCACAGCCCTTTGGCTCTCGGTCTGAGCGGCTTTCTTCCCGACTTCTTTCCAATCGAACACCAGCCTGAGGCTGCCATTCCCGGTAGCAGGTCATAGGACGGAACTGGATCAACTGGATCGGGCCACCCTTGCAGGAGTCTAATGGCTTCTGAAGTCAGTGGTGTGCTCATTTAGATGCAGGCCACGCCCTGGATGTGAGGAGAGGTGACCTGGGACCTGTCGTGCAG